TGGATGAGAATATGCAGAGCCAACGGAAATTAAGAAGACCTCAGTCTGGTGGGCTTCGGTTTTAGCTAAGGTCAAGGCGCTTAAAGAGCCTAAGCAACAGCGAGGGTGCATGATGGCCCCAGTAGAGGTCTGTGTGCTTAAGGGGTGACTAGAAATCACCCACATATCAATATTCAGTTCTCCACGGGCATATCGGCAGGGCATACAGTATACCTGTGAAAGAGGGAGGAATTAAGACGAAATTTTACTTGGAAAACATGAATAGAAGTCACTTAGGAAGGTAAAACTTAAATCCATCATAAATAGGTGTGATTATGTGAAGTGGATCAATCTGGCTCATGACAAAAACCAAAGGTGCACTCTTGTGTTCACAGTAACAAAATTTTGAATTACACAAAATGCAAGGAATTTGCAAACTAGGTAAGAAATTATAACTTCTCGATAAAAATAACGGCCCATGGAGTTAGATATGGGTGTGTGTCATGTGTGAATAAGAGCAGGATGTGGAAAGAAAGTGTATACATGGCAATGGGGAAACCAAATAAAGAAAGACATAGAAAAAGGAGACCAGACAAAGAGTAAACATTGAATCAATGTTACAATAAAAAGATGGAGAATGATTTAAAGTAAAGTGACCCAACCTGGCAGAAACACGACAGGTGATGATGATGATGATGATGTTATGGTGGTGGCAGTGATATATCATAAGACTTATAACCATGTCATTAGAGAAAGGAAATGTTATGTTAAATGGCAATTTAAGTATAAAAATTATGATGAGACACTGATGTTTACATTTTGAATAAAGGATTAGACTAGGGCTCTTGTGATTCAGATATATAACAAGAAACGAAAGGTTGGCTCCAATTTTTACCATACTTGTTTTTCAGAGTAATTTCTTTATTTGTTCTAGGCTAACATAAATTTACTGCAGATATAAATCTACGTTTGATGGAGCAAATCAGTTCTTCACTGCCTAGAATCATAAATTCTATTACACAGCTAACTAAGAATTGATACATTATACTGCAGAGATACAAAATATTGTCTCCTTTCATTAAATATAAATGATATAAAATATAAAGAATATATATATGTAGATTTTCAATGTGTTTTGTATATTATATCATGTAATTTTATGATGTCACTGTCTGACAAGCTGTTTCTGAGAAATCTGATGTGTGTTTGATTTCACAAAAACCAAGGATTGTGGTGTACTGCAGTGGGCAAAAAAAAATTGCCTGACCACTTTTTTAGAAGCTCCAATAAAATGTTCTCAAAATGGGTTGAGAGCATAAGCGTAAAATTTTAATAACGATAATCACATGATTTAAAGCAAATATACAGATCCATTGTCATTTTTATTGACGAAGGGCAAAAGAGACATCTTCAGAGGCATTTCCCAGCAGATCAATTTTTCCATACATATCCCCCACCTGATCAAGTAAATATACAGAATAACTGAAAAGACATGGTGTCATTTTTATAAAATTTAATTCTTGTTTATGTATTTTTTTATTTCAAGTATTTCTTGGTACTTTTGAACCAAGTGGTAACTTATAAATAAATTGGTTACACAAAAACACATTTCCACACTAACTGGTGTTTCACTGCAATTTGGGTTCTTACATTCCCAGTGACCCTATTACAATTATTAAGCTACATAAATATAACATGATAATAAGTACAACACATAGGAATAAGATTTATACAGATGCTCACCATCATCAAGACAAACAATGAAAAGTACACGATGATAATGTGTATATCCCTGAGTATTGTGCTTGTACAGCTTCACACACTGTACGCTCCAATATAAATAACACACATCATCTATTCAGCTTAGAGTTCCTAGGACTGGCTTTGGAATAAATTATGTTCTTTGCGAGAGTAAATTTAAATTAAAACTTTTCATATATGAAAACAGTCAATAACCTACAGCATGTAATTTGAAATCCATTAATAGACATTAATTATATATCTTCTTTCTGAACTGGTGTAACTAGCAGTTAGATTGCATTAGTTCCCTGCTATGTCTTATTATCACAAAATCATCAATTTACTCTCAAACTTCATCAGTAGCCAAGGAATATCTTTTATTGTCAATTTTCTTTGCACCTTCTCATCTCTTTATAGATGAGCATATGCTTAGATTCGTTGACATAGATCCTCAGCAAACACCAGCCATGCAAAGGATTGAATTACAAGTTACAAGCTAATATTTCAAATATACATGAAAAACGATTTTTGTGACTCTTTTAATTGTTCAGCATAAACATATGCAGCTAGTTTTAGGAAAGTAACCAAATCTTTTTCTAATAAATACATACTATCACACACTAATAACGTAACCATTGTTTCTCTTATAAATGCAAAGTAATCTTAATAATTTAAAACAATAATACAGTGCCATGGAAATAACATCTAACAGTCTTTTAAAATACACAGCATTGTCCAAAACATCACTCCATTTCAACAAAAGAAATAGTTCAGCAAAACCTGGACAGTTGAGATGATTGTTAGAAGCAGATTACTGGGGGGGGATAAGAACTCATATTACTACAAAAGTTGGGTAAAAGAAAGAATGAACACAGATGCTTCTTCACTCATCTGCCTAGTAGCTAACTCTCCTCTGCATGCCTTCCCTTTCTCCCACAATTGCCATTTATATTCCTGTTTTGTTTCGTTTACAGGCTTCCTCTCTGTTTTGTGTTCTCAGTTTATTATGAGGATATCTGGATGTATTACAAAATTCCACTGACAAATCATGTCACTTCACTTTGATAAAATAAATAAATTATAACATTTACTATAACATGTATTACATTTTATAAACTCAATGACAACAATGATTACAACAACGAATTAACTAAACAGCTCTCTTCTCCTAAGACAGAGAGGTGAGACTGCTGTTGAAAGATACGAAGTGTGCTGTGTAGGTAGGGTCAGGAGAAGGAGGTTGATTTGAACCTCCATCGCTCATGTTCATTCTTTCCCTGACCTAATTGTATTAGGCTCTTCTGTAATCATTGAAATAAACTTCTTGTTTCAGTGACAAATAAAACTTGTGTAGTTCTTATTCTTTCTCATATAATAAAAATATATGTTAATATGCTTACAAATGAAAAAAGGTAAACCATCTAATAAAATAATATTTCATGTAGTGTAAACATCTGGATAATCTGAGTATCTTTGCTGTATTCCTTCAGATGCTAATGATTCAGAGAACACATCAAGATTCAGCTAGCCATCACCTGAGTGTTCACAGATTAGGAATAGATTTAGTTCCTTCACCAAGCAGCCAGAGATCAAGGAAGCTATTAATATGATAACTAGAGATGTTTGCCAAATTTATGGCATGTCTTCCCTTATCTTTGCTTATTACAAAACAAGAAGTATACTGTACTGAATTTTAGTTCCAGAGTCCTCTGTCAGTGGAAGACTCTATAAAGACTTTATATTTTCAAGTGTTCAATTTGTTTACCTTCTAAGAAAGATTGCTTAAAATCTTCCACCATCCTGTCATACTTCAAATTTGTAAGGGAATTTGTCAGAAAAGTTGTTCACATAATGGTATCACAAAGTCCAACAATCTGCATCCAATAACCAGGTCCCCAGTATACTTCATCTTAATACAAAAATAATAGCCATTTTTATGAAAACAAAAATACTGATAACAATAATACAGGCTGTCCATTTGTAATATTTGAAACATAACACATCCCAGACTTAGTGCCTTGAAAACCCAAAGTCTCACATAATGAGGTAAATTTTTAATTCACATATTTCTTTAATATGTATGAATTTAAACATTATACTGCATTTTTCTTTTTGCATTTAATAAAGGAACGGGCAACCTAGTTAGGTTCCGATGATTGCCACCACTCCTTTAATCTCAGATTTTCAAGAGGAGTGATCTTGCCAAACTTGACATTTTGTGGGAATGTAAACCCCATGGTCACTGACCGATTTTATTATGTAGATTTCATGTCGCTGATGTAACATTATGAAAACAGAACAAACAACAAATTTTATTTTGAAATCTGATTATATTTCATGGGGCTCTTTGACATCAGTTATAAAATAAGTTATATTTGAAACACATTCCACATCCAGTTTTCAGAAATACGATTAAGGAAAGCTGAATATTATGAATATGAAAACAAACAGTTTTGAATTTTTTATTGTTTCAATTCTTTGTATCATTCCCCTCCTCAATCATCTGTTGTATCTTTTTAAATTCTAACTAAAAAAATTGCTAACACAGACAGACACCTGCAAATGCATGATGTATGAAATATTAACATATAGACTTGATGAGAAATGAATACTAGATTTTCCACTACAGCTGTGAATTCGGTTTCTATGGAAGGACTAAAGAAATTTATATACCATTTCTTTTACTTTGAAGTATTTTAGTCCTGTATATCCACTGTTATTTTAATGAAGAAGTTCTGGACTGCCAGTATCTACCATTTTCAGTATTGCACACATTGCATGACATTTCTATCCAGCTCCCTCAAGAATGGCATAACATGAATTACAATAGCAAATACAAATATCCAATATCTATCTACTAACAACTATTACACACTGCTCCTTATATACAGATTTAGAACTGTTAACTTCTATACAAGCTTACTGCAATCTTAATTATTATAACAGTGTCACGGAAAGAGAAACATGACTAATTTTATTTGTTTAACTATTGCTTGGTATATGTAGTCATTTTTATGTGATTACAAGACAGATAACTGTATGTTCGTTTGTCATTTATGAGAAAATTTACTTTGTTAAAAATGGAGAGTCATCATTGAGGATCCTCATCAATAATTGCAACAGAATTGTAGAATATAGACTACAACTGTCTTAAACTGTATAAGAAAAGTAAAGCTATGCCTGTACCAGGCTGTGAAGGCCCATAGGGTTGTGAGACATTGAGGGTCCCACACTATCTAGACTATTGGCTCACAGATAGCGGTAAGGTTGTCAGCCTTACGCACTGGCCGCGCTTTACTCCCCAGGAAAATTATTTAATTAATTCCTGGTACTCATTTCTGTTAGCGGCTGAGGAAACCCCAGGGTCTAATGCATCTGGAAGGGAGCTGTATATGTGATGTGAATAAATATTACACTTCCTTGTATGTGAATATTAATGCATCATTTTAAAGTGAATTACTGATATTGATTGTTATCATAAAAAGTTAATATAATGAATATAGAAATGAATTAATGACTACAGAAAAAATACTGACAATTGGTAAATCATATTGACATTTGTCCAGTATATTATTTACATATATAAATACCACTAATAATGATTTTAAAAGGTATGTTGAATACTACTGGTACTTCGTTGTTCACTCTTACTTGAAGAATATGCCATTAATGAATGAAGTGTGATACCTAGTTACAGCTTCATACTGCATAAAAAAGGAGAACTTTATAAATTTTAACAGAAAATCTACCTATGAAACAGAAACGGATCCAGTGTAGTGTGTGTGGAAGAAAATGTTACTCTACTATATTACCTTTTTATACTGCCTTCAGAAAGCAATGAAAATAGATTAGGTTGTATAGAGCAAAGATTAATTATATGGACAGAAGGTAAGACATAATGCCTGCATCTGTATCAGCTAGATCAGCTCTCCTTATTTGACATTATCCCAATAATATGTTGAGCTTTGTTCACTAACCAAGATATACACAATACTTAGGCACTTTTCTGTGTGTACCCCCCCCCCCCTTTGCTGCCAGGCAATAGCTTGGTAAACATGCATGGCAATGGCAATAAATACACATGCAACAATACAAGAATTGTTTTCTATGTAGTCTATGCCATAACAAAGGAAGGTAGGCAATTAGTTCTTCCAAGAACTTCATGTATATTTCAAGATTGTGGCAGCAATATACTAACTGCACTGTAAGAGGGGGCATTTACTATTCTGGTATTCAACAGGTGCCGGGTTTGATCCAAAATATCACAACTAATCATAAAATAAAATAAATAATGATGCAGAATAAAAACTGTGAGCCTGAATGAATCATTAACATAAAGGTTTATAGAACCCTTATGTGACATCTCTGGTATTTATATGTAACAGCCCACTGTGACTGTTTCATAGTAACTGGCTTTCCACCAGCCATGTTTGATGTGGGACTTCTGGTGGACAAGTAGCACAGGGTTGGCTTTTCTTGGGTTTTCTCCAAGTACTTTAGTTTCCACTACCAATTCCATTCCACCAACTTCTCCATATTCATTAATCATATCGACACTGCACAGACGCAATACTGATAGCATTGTTAAATAACCAACTTACATAAAAAGTTCCCTTCAGTAGAAACAAACTTATGCCAACAGGTATGGGATATATCTTTGTTACTAAACAATTAAAATCTGACAAAAATGTTCATGAAATTGAAAATCAATGGCAATCTTCCACATGTTGTATCTATGAAGAATGACAGTGCTGCAGTTAGTAAGTCAATGGACTGGCAATATGTCATCAAATTTAAACTAAAGCATTAAAAATACAGGCAACTTCATGTAAGTAAGGGGAAGTAAAAAAGATATGAATGAACCAAAGTGGTTAAAATGTTATAGATATCTTAAAAAGTACATAAAATTGGAGGTACTACATGGTACATTGTACCAGCAACATTCATTCATAAATCAAAACAAACAAAAGGACATTAAATTAAATGTATATGGAAAAGTTGAAGAAGAAGGCAACAGGTTTTTCTGAAAAGTTGACATCTATTTACCACATGGCATCATGGCCCAGAAAACCATAATCAACTTTTCATTATTGTCTCATAGACTATTCATTGCACTCAACGTAAACAAATGGTATTGCCATTGTTTTCAATTGTGGTGTAACACCTGTGACAATGAAGAACGTTTGACGGGACAAGGAATACAGATTCAACATGCTGCACTTAACAGAAGAGGTCCATTATGAAATGTATCAGATGTTTTAATAATTTGCTAATTTACCTAAGAGTCTGCCTCTTCACTCCTTTCTGATACAGTGTTTTGGCTAAAAATGTTCACATATTTTGAATTGTTCTGAATTCATATTAAAAATATTTGGTTGGTACATTACTGGAGATGATCAAACCTATAATGTAATTTTTAAAGTTTATGCAATTATTCAAGTTTTCTTCATTATGCAACTCATGGGTATCCTTAAAATCTTACTAACGAAACTCTTGTTAATATCACTGTCTTTTTGATTGAAAATCATATGGATATATGAGTATGGATAGCATAATGTGCAGATAAGCAATTACATTAATGACATAGAGGGGATGGGGTTAAGTTACACTTGATAGCAATTAACATGTGCAATGAAGCAATCTGAGCCATGTTAAATATGGCAAAAATGATAGCCCCTTAAAACCGTAACAACTGCACTGTAACCAATCAATTACTATGGATATGCATGTGAAATTTTGTACAAAGATAGATCAAAGAAGTATTTGTGAATTTTGTGTGAAATCGTGACTTACATGACAAGAACTGCAAACTTGATGATGGTGTGAAACTTTAGGATTATATCTAACAAATTTACCATAATCAGAAACTGGATTAAAACAAAGTTGAAACCAGCTGTGATAAATATTTGTGTGTCTGTGACTAAAAAGGATATAGTTATGTTAAACAAACAGGAAAGGAAAATTCTGAGAAAGCTGTATGGACCAGAAACAGAACAAGAGATTTGGAGAAACAGAACTAAGGAATTACACATAACCCCTTATCTGGCAGCACATATTACAAGCAGAAGATTGAAGTGATTGGGGCATACAATTGGAATGAATCAAACAAGAATGGCTATGAGAATTTTTACAACTACTATAAAGATTAATATGGGAAGGCCCAGATCAAGGAGGCTGGAAGATGCGCAGAATACTTCATAAGAAATTATAGCAAAGACATTGAGGCAAAAGACGAATAAAGGTGAAGAGCTGACATTCCTCATAAATGAGGCCTAGATCTTAGAGGACACTGGAGCCAAATAGCAAGTAAGTACATATTAATGGAAATTATGCACAAAATGCACTAAATAATGTAACTATTACTCTGTAGTTCTTGTTAGCCTCACCATGTAAACTGGAACATCCATAGGAAATTACATGTCATCATTTCTTCCAAGAATTTTATCATCTTCAGTTAACTACCCTGGATCCTTAACTGCATTTGGGGAGTAACTTTGTACATTTCAGAAAACTAATATTTCAACTATTCATGTCTCTTTTTGAATTTTGATTATAAAAAAGTAAAATAAAAATAATGACAGTCATATAAAAAACTGCTATCTCAAGTTTTAATAGTATTGCTCCATGTATCATCAGATATATATTACTATAATATATATCTCTACTTTATAACAGTACACTCACACTACTCTCACTCACTCTATGCATGTACAACTTTTATCAAACTTGAGTCAGTCATGTGGCACCAACCTATGACCTGCCATTGATATCCTTTGGTTCAGATCATAATGGAATTGTCAGTCTGCATAAATTCTGCCATACAGAGGGTGCCAAAAATGTGGTGGGGGATGAAGGAAGGCACAAAACAATATTACTAAGTCATGTCTCTTATGCCATGTAGAAGATCTTACGTCATGCGAGTCCTTGCACTCTGTGCAAACAAAACACCTTGGTACATGACACCATTAATCTCCATGCTCACCACTAAAGAGTTGTCGATACCGGCTCGCCCATCTCCTGCAAGCAATAACACAATTATTTCTAGCTATTATTCTACAAATTGAATGGCAGGCTAAGAACACAACTATTCATATGAATACTCTTTCATAAAAATACAAAAAGAGATTACTGGGTTTTTGGATTTGTCCATCATTCGGTATTCTAAAAACTAGAAACCACAATGTTTGGAAGCTGGATGTGTGTCCAGTGACTGATCTAGGTCCAGTGATAGCGGTTTGGTCTTTCTAAGGGCGACCCAACAGAGTTGGTGCCCTCACCCCCCACCTAAGGTTGGAAACAAATCCAGTGTATGATATGTTGTGTTCTATATTTTTCAGAACACCGTACAATGGACACATTCCAAAATCCCAGTAATTCTGAGTGTTATACACCATCATCAGAACCCTTTAGAATCTACATATAAAAAGGAATTTGAAAACTGTAAGTGTGATTCTTTATTGCTTTTGGAAGTCTCTAGTTTCTTAGTTCCTTTGTAATTATTTTAAGGCATTACCATTGTTGAATGGTATGATGAGAAATGAATAATAAATTGGAAAGGGTTTGAAAGGAGATGGTCATACCCTAAAGCTGGCGTTTGTATGGAGGGACTGAAGAAAACCATGAAAAACCTCATTTAAGATAGTCAAACTGAACTCGAACTGAACACTAAAGGTAATGGGAAGGTAAAGACATCCCTGTAGCAGGCCATGGAGACCAAGAGGATTGTGAGACGTTAAGGTTCTCACATTTTCTAGACAATCAACGGCAGTGAGGTTGTTGGACTTATGTGCTGTCTGGCCACCATGCACCCCCAGGAAGATTCTTGATACTCATTTCTGTTAGAGGCTGAGTTGACCCCAGGACCATAGTGTGGATGGAAGGATTAGGTCAATTTAAATATCTAATGATCTCCTCAGTGCCTCAGCCAACCAACTATGCTATCGCTGAACTGATCACTTCCCAAATCTCCTGAATATAAGCTAGGGTGTTACCACTGCATCATGTATTTTAAATTTCTCTGTTTCAATATTTATTTCTCCATGTCAGGTGGATCCCTTGTCACCATGGCATGGCATGCGGATGGAGGAGATGCCCCCCCCCTCCAAGGTATGGAAGGAAGCTGCGAAAATACTGAATAAGCTGTCATGGACAGCTGACAAAAGGGGTGGTCCTCCAGCTTGGGGGTTGGGCGTGGGTCTAACAACTACTCACCTTAAAAATTACTTTGTTACGAAAATGCACACAAAGCCTTGGACCTGGATGGTTCCTCTGGATAAATGTAATAGCTCCATAAGTAAGTAATATTTATTTTTATATTAACTGCTTTCGCATATAAATAAGAAACAAAGATGTTTAGTAAGATACCATTAGGGGTGGAACATGTTTTTTGCAAGTAGAAAATATAATTCTGTATTGCAGGTTTAATAATGGATAAAGTAAGAGGAAATGGAAAGTAAAAAAAGAATTGACTGCTTTATTAATTAACATGAAGTAGTTTCTTTCTTTTAAGTTTAAAAATGGATAAGGGATCACCCTTGCTTAATGCACAAAATGACTTCATTCTATCTGGAATGATATTACTGAAAATTTATAATGATGGAAGAATGTAATTTGAAGGACGGTACCTAGAGTGATCAACAGCCCATTAGAATAGGACACCCCAAGGGAGAAGAACAGCTAATATGAAAAACCACAGACGGCCAAAACACCTAATTAAGAGGACAACAACTGGATTGTATGAAGGAGATCTTTGCTCTACCCTTACATTTCAATGCCAAAACTTCTTAGACCTTAACTACCTTAAATTCTGATTAATTTCATACTGGTGAGGAGAGGAGTCTAGATTAAAAACTGCTAAACGAATTAAATCTCAATTTTTATTACGGCAATAAACTCTCCTGTTCATCAACATGAAACAGAATATCCACTTATCTTTCAAACCGCAGAGGAAAGTAAGAGAGAAATAGATACACAACACAAAATATAAATGTCTTAAAGTTTTAAACTACCTTATGAAATTTTTTTCAATTTAGTGAATATCTAAAGCAATACAAGAATAAGTTGATTCCTCTATGCAGTACTCTGAATTTAGCATACTTAAATTTAAATTGGGAGTAAGTGATCATCAAGGTCAATGAGCCATACATGATCAGAAATAAAGCATTAGTTCCTTGCATTCTCTATGTCATTCTTTATTTTTGTAAGTAATTATTCTTTTATTTATGTCCTGTATATCCTAGCTTCCATAAAATCTGTCTCTGTATACATCATGCCATGAAACCCAAATGATTCTAAAACCTGGTACTAGATGCAACTGAGAGGACATCTTTAATCTCCAGCTACTTGCATCCAGTACTCATTAGGTAATGAGCTGGGTGAGTAATATAAATATCATGTACTAGGAATTTATGATATTTCAACTCAGATTGAATAAAATGGCAGAAGCTTGAGGCTTCATTAAAACTAATCCCACTACTGTGGGCCATAACCCACATTGTCTGAATAGTCTCTTTACAGTTGAAGGCAAAAACGTTCTTAACAAGTCTAAGTTATGAGAAGGTCAAGTTTGTTCATCCCCAATGTTGTGAGAGAGGCTTTTACAACCAGCAGAATAGACTAATAATATTAGAATTGATCTCAAAAGAAATTGGCTGTGTGTAGATTATTCACCTCACTTTGGATACTTAGGATTTTGTGAACATAGTAACGAACTACCTTAAAAGCATAACATTTCTTGGCCAGCTCAATTCCTGACTTCTAATACTTCATGTAAGACCCTTTATGAGGCAGTTACAGTAAAACTACAAAGAACACAAAATGCAGAAAAAGGCATGTCTTGCTCAAGGGCAAATCTTTTTCTGTTGCCCTTAAGATATCAACAGCCACATTCCTTCATTCACCTGAATTACATTATTTGGGAGCATGATCGTGAAATCATGCAGCACAACATATGGAGCCACAAAGGATTTTTGTCATGAAGCCTCCAACTTGTCTATCATCTCTTTCTGGGCCAACAATTGCATGAGTAACACTGCTTGTAGTAGTCATTAAAGGTGCTACCACTGGATCAGCTCTACCAATGGACCTAGTTCACATCGCCATACCTGTAGAATGCTTCACACGGCTGGAGGTACTGTATGATACTAATAATAAGGGGATCCCCACATGTATTGGTTTGAGGCAACTTCACAGAGAATTGGTTATGAAGTAAATCCTCGTAAGACTTCCACAAGTTGTATATTAGTTTAAACATAAAATATAAAGTATAGTTTAAGTACCCCTTAGGTGTACATTTGTAAATCACATCTGTAAAACAAGCAGTTCCTCCTCAAATTAAATTATTGTGTGTGTTATCTGGAAGGCAAGGGGTTATTATCAATTATTCATTTATTTATGCAAGCGATGGCTTCAGCTTTATGAGCTGTTTTAAATGAAGCAGCCAGGCATTCTGAAACTTACCCTGAAATAATATAAATATGATACAGGATACAGGATAGCTCACTCAGTGTAGCAACTTTGATGTATACTACAGGCTGGATGACTGAAATACCGGGGTTAGATTCGCAACAGGAGTAAGATATTTTTCTCTACAACTTACAGACTGGCTCTGAGGCCTATCTAGCCTCATACACTATACATACTGGGAACAGCTTTCCTGGGGGTATGGCAGCAAAGGTGTGAAGCTGTAGAAAGTTGTAGGCAGTGCAGGGACATTTTACCACACACTGAAGAAGTCATCCACCATGTTTTGAAATTAGAAAAATGTTTATTTGGAGTTTCCCCAAATAAATTGAGAACATTAGCATCATTATCAGAAGCCGACAAATTGTTTACTGGATTATCTGGTAAAGGATGAAAACAAATTAGAGGATATTCAAATTTTTAACGTGAACAAAAGTGGTATATCAACAGTCCAAAAGAAAACATAAAAAATGATATACAAAAAAGGCAAACCTCTATTTGTGTTCATTTTCAGCAGTAGTAGAAAAGTGTCTTGCCAACAGCAATCGTTTTGATTAGGGTAGTTGGTAGTTGGACAGTGTGGCTTATTAAAAGAGTATTCACACTACAAGGAGAATTACAAAGACCATAGATCCCCAAACACAATTCCTGCTCTTATTCCAGCCAGCAGGCGCATCAATAAAGAATTATTTGCAGTGAGGCTGCACTACCTCATTGCAGATGTTCGTCCTACAGACATTAATCCTTGTAGGCAGACATAGAAAATGTGCTTTCCATTTAGTTTTTCCTGAGGTTAGGGATAATAATGTTGGTACTTCCTGGACATGTTACAGACAGACTACAATCATTAGTTATATATTTTCTTCAAGCCTGTCTTTTCTTACCAGTACGTTGATGCAGTCGAGCAATGGCTGTGAGTTCATTCAGGTTATATAGTACCCATTTCTAAGTTACAGCCATACTTGGACAAGATCAAATATCCAGAGTAAAATGAATAATAAATACTTCCTTATAATCTTGCCTGCAAGATGTAAAGGGGTTTTATTCTCCTACTAAACTTGCTACATTTGATGGACTCAGCAACTTATTCATGTATTAAGGTGTGTAATGGCTCAAGATGGAATTTACAGAAAAAACAATTGTTTATTTTACTGTTATTTTGTTCAATGATGCAGTTAACTCAGAAATGCTGCATTGGTTCAACAGTGGCTTCCCAGTGATTTACGCATGAGGCCGGACATCCATGATTGGGCTACTTCATATAAAATTTGAAAATGACTATATTTCCGTACCTACTGTACCTGCCCTACCTACTATAATTACTCAGCACTTACCTCTGCTGGCTATCTTTATATGTGTGCCTGCAACTCCACTGTGCTTGTTCATATTGTCTTCTGATGACATTATCCTCTTGGGAGGAGGAGGGCCCAGAGACTCATCGCTTTCTCGGGTTGCAATAGATTCCTGTAGGGCCCTTGCTTGCTGTTCCCGTACTTCCAGATTTAGGGCTTCCCTCTGGGGCTCCTGTGAGGGTGGTACCACAGAAGTGTTGTTGTTACAGAGGTTCCACAGTGTAAGCCGGGACATGCCCAAAGCATTTAGGGCGGCAGAGTCTTGGGGTGAAGTTGAGGGTGGAGGTGAGCTTGATCCTTGTCTGTTACTGCTCCCATTGCCAGCAGCTGTAGAACCGCTGAGCTCTTTACGAAGATACTTGACATAATCCACCATCATCCTAGTTTCAAACTCTGAAGGAACCATTCCAGGAACAGAACCTGCAATAATACTGATGTCAGTACTTTGGAGGTCTGGGCTTCTTAGATTGAAGATTATAGTAAAAGGAATTATATAGAAACAGTAGGTGAGGATGTGGTCTGTCCTAATTTGCCTGCAGGCAGGTTCCTCAGAAATAAGCATCCAGGTTCGCAAAACTATAGTATGGACATGTTTTAACAATTAAACCAGTGATCCATAAAAAATGTCAATAGAAAGCAAAATAAATTGTTACTGCTAACATATGAAATAGTGAACCAATAGTACGTGATCCTAGGCATTTTGAGGTTGAAAGTGTTATTGCGAAATCATCAGGTAGTGATCAAAATCCAGTAGAACTTATTCAAGCAGGAGGTGAAATACTTTGTTCTAAGTTCCACATGCAAATTACTTCTAATTGGCATAAGGAAAAATTGCCTCATCAGTGGAACGAGTCTAGTATTGTACCAATTCACAAGAACGGTGATAAAACTGACTGTAGTAATTATCTGGGGATATCACTGTTATCAGCTTCATACAGAATTTTATCAGATATTCTTCTCTCAAGGTTAAGTCCATACATAGATGAAATTATTGGGGAACATCAGTGTGGGTACTGACGTAACAGATCAACTAATGATCAGACTTTTTGCATTCATCAGATACTGGAGAAAAAATGGGAGTGCAAGGATACTGTACATCAGCTATTTGTAGACTTCAAGAAAGCCTGTGTTTCAGTTAGGAGGGAAGTATTGTACAATATTCTGATAGAGTTTGGGGTATCCATGAAATTAGTTAGGCTGATTAAAATATTCTTAAATGAAATGTATAGTAAAGTCCGTATAGGTAAACATTCATCTGAAAATACCATAAAGAGAAACACACAAGCTTTAATTGACGCTAGTAAAGAGGATGGTCTAGAAGCAAAACACAGAAAAAACTAAATATATTTTGCTATCTTGTCACCAAAATGAAAGGCAAAATCGTTACATGAAGATAGCTAACAGATCCTTTGAAAATGTGGCACAGTTAAGATATTTGGGAATGACTATAACAAATCAAATTTTGATTTATGAGGAAATTAAGAGGAGATTGAACTTGGTGACATTAAAGGAGGAACATAGACTGAGGCTGTTTGAGAACAGGGTGCTGAGGAGAATATTTGGACCGATGAGAGATGAAGTGATAGGAGGTTGGAGAAAACTGCATAATGTGGAGCTTCATAGCTTGTACTCTTCTCCAAGTATAACTAGAATGATCAAGTCAAGGAGGATGGGATGGGCAGGGCATATAGCACGAATGGGTGGGAAGAGGAATGCATATAGAATATAGGTGGAAAAGCCAGAAGGAAAGAGACCACTGGGAAAACCAAGGCATAAGTGTGTGGACAGTATTAAAATGGATCTTAGAGAGATAGGATGGGATGGATTGGATTTGTCTGGCTCAGGACAGGGACCAGCGGAGTGCTCTTGTGAACAAGGCATTGAACCTTTGGATTCCATAAAATACTGGGAAGCTCTTGAGTAGCTGCAAAAATTGGCGGCTTCTCAAGAAGGTCTCGGCTCCATGGGTGAGTGAGTGAGTGGGTGAACACATCAAATAGAGTTTAATTCTAATATAAACTTCAAAAAGTCAATAAAAAAGTGAGGTCAAAATGATACACTCTTACACTGACTGCTGGTGACTTCTTAGTGCCTTGGCAAGGGAGTCTTCCAGGCAAAACATGCTCACTCAGGCTTTTATAAATATGGAATTCTTAGGTATGTACGCTTGTGTCAACTAGAAAACCAATTTAGTATTGAAGATAAACTACAGAATTATAATTAGTTCGATTTTCGAGGGATGTGGATAAAAGCGGTTGTAACATATTTTACGATCTAGGTATGTGCATCGGTGAACTGGAATAATACACAAAACAATCACAGGATATCCCATCATCTGGCCATATTTTTTGTGAGTGTAGTTTTTGCCACTTGTGAAAAATAATTTCTCTCCAATTTTCATCCATTTACCCATTTCTCCTATACTTTTATCCCTTCATAACCTCAACTTCATCACTGATTTTTCCCACACTCTTTTCCCATTTCATTTACTTGTCCTTTCTGTTGTCAATTCTCTCTCTCTTTATTTCATTCCTCTCCTTATCTAATAGCGGTTTGGATAAATGTAACTTGAAACCTGCTGCTGAAGGACAATCAAAATGAATTGCCTTCCTTCAAAGTTGCCCTGAGGTTCACATCCTCTGTGTGCGCAGGCAAACTTCAACAGCAAATTTGTATCAGACTGATTTTTAAGTGGAAGATAACATCAAGGTTTTTATGTTAAATCACTGTTATCAGCCATATTATTTTTCATTTGCTAATGGTAATGGATCAAATATTACGAAGATCTGAAAACACAGATTACATATAAACTTGACATATTTAATTCAGTATTATATTGCAGATCAAAAATAAAACGGGTTTCTGATTGACAATATAATAATATTAACAAATAAATAGGCGGTAAATAAAAATACTGTTCATATGAATGTATACACAGCAGATGAGATCTGTACAAAGATGATACAAGAAGCATGTGCTTATTTACAAGAAATGTTCATTAAAAATTATGGGCCAGAATGGAAACATGTCCTTTGCAGGATCTGAAAGCAGAACTACCTGGGGCGAGAACATTTGAAATAAAGAAGAAGACAGAAGAGAATAAATGGAAGAAGAGGAGAAGGGTACAAAGGAGGAAAAGAGAATATACAGGAAGAGAATAGGAGAAGGTAAGAAGAAAAATAGAGGGAGGAGGAAGGGATGAGCAGGAAGGAGATGAGGACACTGAAAGAAGGAAAAGGAGGAGATGGAGGAACAGAAAGAGGATGTGGAGTAGAAAAGAGGATGTAGTAGGAGGGAAAGAAGGAAAGGGAGTAAGAAGAACAGGAGAAAGAAAAGAACAGGGAAGAAGAGTACACAATAAGAGGAGATGCAAAAAAGAAAATAACTAATAAGAGTCAGAACAATTATGAAGATAAAGAGGATGTTTCTTTCTTATGTCTTGGATCTGAAATTTATACCAAGAGTTAGCCATTTCTTTCCTAAATTAAACTCAGCACAGAAATTATAAAGAAATAATTACTTCACATTATATGTAGTGAATGATTCCATTTTAAATGACAGAGAGAGTTGGCTGTGCTCTGGGTTGGGAGGATATCTTGGCCACATTCCACACTTTTGTAGCGTCCATGAGAAAGGAGGTGTGAGGTAAGACAAGGCGATAATGGATGAGCTTCTGCTAACGAGCTTTCGGAATGATTGACATGCTGCTCTCTGGAGGCATTGTAATATGCGTCTAACGTACTGGATTAATTTTTAAATGAACATACGCACACATGAATTAATCACTTCCTTTAGCAACCCTAAGAATTAGGCGAAGACTGTATATGCTATGCGATGAAACTTCTCCCATAATTGTGTTCATGATACAGTGTATGGTGTGTTCTTGTGAGGTCTCGACATTTTTCTTATTAACGCGCAGTAGCATATCTAACCAACCAATTTCATGGTATAAAGTCCTTGAGTAGCTCACAGTGGTTCAGCTATTGAAGAAATACCCTACATTTTATTGAACTGCATAGTTCATTACCACATTTTCAAGAACCACACCAATGAACCACATTCTGCATCAGTTCGATCCAGCCCATATCTTCACATCATATATCATTAAGATCCATTTTAATATCATCCTCCTATGAACGCCTAGGTCTCTCTAGTGGATTCCTCCCTTAAAACTTCTCAACTAAAATTTTGTATTCATTTATCACATATAGATTTTGGATAGTGAGGTGTTTCAGTAACCAAACCCCTGGCATAGATTCAGGTGCAAACAACAGTCATCACTCCTCTGTCATATTGGACAGTGATCGTTGTCTGATACATAATTTATTTGCATGAAGGTTTGGGAATTCGTTCTGCTCCCATCTTCATGTTGGTTGTCATTATGCTGACAAATCATTGTTCATATTTCCTGAATTAAACTTCAACTTCCTTACTCTGTGCGGAACCTAGTGCCAAGTCAGAGAGACGAAGCCTTCAACGTAAGGAACGACATAATGTCCTGCCTGGTAACATGTCAGAGGTTGGTGTCACATGAGCACATGCCAATGTTTGAATAATGATTATTAGGTAAAACCGAAGACATTCGGAGACAAATCTGCCCCAGTGCCACTTTATCCACCATGTATCTCAAATGAAGTTATCCAGGATTAAACCCGAGGCTTCACGGTTAGAAATCGGTTCCCAAATTCTGTATAATTTTCTAAATGTCTGGAACGATGACTCGTTCATTACACAAAATTATTTGGGGAACAAAATAAACAGTGAGAGAACTTTAATTTTATAGGTGAAATCAAATAATTTGAAGGAAGAGTGCTGAATAGGTAAAGAAGTCTGGAGAGCAACATCTGGGACCTCATGAAAGGAAGCAAGGAAGGAAGGAAGGAAGGAAGGAAAACAAGGATGAACGGAAGAGAAGGAAAGAAACAGAATTAGAAACAGCAGAAATATATGTTGAGTGATTCCAGATACAGATGAGATACAGATCTCATAAGAAGGCAAAAGGTAAACCTAGGCTTAATTAATTAGACACCATTCCACTAAGATGTGTGAGGTTGTGAAGGTACTGATGCAGCATTCTCCTGATAGGTCTTGTGCTTTCGTAAAGCCCCTTGCATTCTGCATGTGGACCAGCACTGCGAGTCTCACCACATTGCTGCTTCGGAATCAGTAACTAGCTCAACGGCGTCAGTATCGGAACTGAGGCACTCCACCTCGGTTGTTGAGTTAGTTTCTATGCACGAACCATTCACACTTACCGCTGCTATTAACACTATTAGCACTTCTGATTCCATCAGTCCTTTTGTCACTACATTTTGAACATAACGACACATCACTCTACATTCCATCTTGTCGATATCTGCAAAGCGCTGTACTAACTGCCACACGTCATCGAATGTGAATGTAACATTGCTGTGTCCGACCCGCTTGACATCTCTGCATGTAATTCTCAGTGGTGTTGAGATCGGGACGGTGGAGGTTAAACAAAGAATTGTATGACCATGGGCACTTAAAAATTCCATTGAGAATATATCTTTTTTATTAACATCTATGTATTTAGTCTGTCAGTAATGAAACAATCATTAAAATATTCACTATTCAATAACAACACATGTTGAATAGTGAATATTTTAATGATTGTTGCATTATTGATGGACTAAATACAGAGATGTTAATTAAAGATGTACAACAGGATGCTGAAGTACAGAATTATATCTATTTTGCTTTGGTAAGTCTCATAAGGTCAAAGAGAGTTCTGTCTTTAACTACTCACTGCCGAATGATCTGTTGTGCCCCAACAGTCTGTCTTTCGTATCTTTATTTCTTGATGAGGATGTAGGCCGTCTCTAACCAAGCATATTGTAATATGCTCCACCAGCCACAAAAACGAAGTTTAGTGGTAACCTCAGAAGTAGTCCTTCTTTAATCCACCTCCTATGAGTTTCACTATTCGTTTCCTTGGGACAATAGCACTTTTTCTGAATTGACTTAAATCGGTAGTGCGACAGGACTATATAGGATATTGGTGGGAAAGCCAGAAGGAAAGAGACTACTGGGAAGACCAAGGTGTAGGTGGGTGTACAAAATTAAAATGGATCTTGGAGAGATATGATGGGATGGTGTGGATTGGATTGATCTGGCTCAGGATAGGGACCAGTGGAGGGCTCTTGTGAACACGGTAACAAGCCTTCGGGTTCCATAAAATGCTGGGAAATTCTTAAGTAGCTGCAGATTTGGCTTCTCCTCATGAGGGGCTCAGCTCCACAAGTAAGTGCGACAGGACTGAAATCTTTTTCTGTTTTCTGCGTGCACAGTGATCAGCCGTTGCCTTTAGGGGTTGGTGTAATGTTTTCTTGGGTGGGTAAATTCTAACCAGTTCATGGATGTACCTTCTGTCATTACATACGTATAACAGCGGGACAGTCACGGTGAAATCTAATGAATGCTTGTTAAAAGGTGAAGTGCACTTCCAGCATTTTGTTTTTGAGTAATAGTTCACGTGTTGTCTCACATTTTCTCTCACTGAAGTTCAATTGCCTTCAGTATCTTCAGTAAACTAGAAGCTTGTACTTTTATACAATAGTCTTGGGTCTGGAACGGGGTCCAGTCAGTCTCGTGAAGATAATTATGGAGCTATTTGAAGGAAATAGCGGCTCCGGTCTAGAGAACCGTCATTAACGGCCGTGGGGATCCGTTGCGCTGACCACGCGGCACCTCTATCCTCTAAAGTTGGCACTAACTTCGCTGACAAGCGGCGGTCGCTCGGTCGGTATAGTTCGCTTGCGGGCTACAGGACACGGAGTTTTAAGTCTTTCACATCAGCAGAGCTTTAATTGTTTGTGCCCTTTTTTCATGTACGTAGAATTCGCACAACACAGGTGGCAAAATCGTCAAGACTTGCACAAGGTCAACGCGCGGTTTTTATTTATTTTTAGTGCGCTATATGAAGTGATTGCCATGGCCTGCAAATTTAATATGTCCTTTCTCAGAGTTTCTAGATAACTGTCCGAGACTCCGGTTGCGGGCGTAACACGTTCATGGACCATACTCACTGGGTAACAAATCTGCGTTTGCTTTTTTCTGCACGAACAGCAGAGCAGTAGCTGCGATTATTAGAGACCGAATGGCCGCACTTCCGACACGTCACCACCCCAGTTGCAGATACACACTTATCTACGCGCACAGGACTCGGCGCAAGCTCGTGAATCACATGAATTTATCTGACTCACGTTGTGTCAGGACCGGTAAGGACCCCAGATGCGTTCAATCGTTTTTTAGGACATTCGCTCTGGTGCAGTAATTACGGAAGGGAGAAGTACTGATTGACATGTTTTGCAACAAGCAGCGTTGCACAAAACCTTACACTGTCAATGATGCTGCTTGCACAAACATGTTCAGTCTCGACTTGGTGCAATAGCGTCAAATCTTCTGATAGGATTTATGTGCGGGATTTATTGAAGCTATCGGAGATTACCTGCACTTTAGAAGAGTAAAAAAGCTCGCTCACTCACTCATGGAGCTGAGCCCTTCTTGAGAAGCAGCCAATTGTGCGGCTACTCAAGAACTTCCCAGTATTTTATGGAATCCGAAGGTTCATTACCGTGGTCACAAGAGCCCTCCACTGGTCCCTATCCTAAGCTAGATCGCGCCAATTCATACCATCCCATCCTATCTTTCTAAGATCCATTTCAATATTGTTCACCCACCTACGTCTTGGTCTTCCCAGTGGTCCCTTTCCTTTTGGCTTTCCCACCGATATCCTATATGAATTCCTCTTCTCATCCAATTCGTGCTACATGCCCTGCCCATCTCATCCTACTTCACGTGATCATTCTAAATATACTTGGCGAAAGGGACAAGTTATGTAGCTCATCAGTATGCACTTTTTTCCGACCTCCTGTCGCTTCATCTCCCTTCGGTCCAAATATTCTCCTCAACACCCTGTTCTCAAACACCCTCAGTCTATGTTCCTCCCTTAATGTCAGAGACCAATATTGTATTTGAGCATCCTGTTACACTCGCACAATATATATAAGATAAACACCGTCTTAAGTGTAACAATTTTATTGTAGTTCTTTCTTACAATAAAATTGTTACACTTAAGACGGTGTTTATCTTTTATATAGTCAGAGACCAAGTTTCACACCTATACAGAACCACAGGCAAAAGTATAGCTTTGTATATTCTAATTTTTATGTCTTTAGACAGCAGACAAGAAGACAGAAGAGAGCAAAAGCTACTCGCATGAAAACAGAAACTCGAAAACTGAGTCATGACAAATTAGTAGATGAACTGAAGGAAACTGAGCTGATCACGAAGACAGTGTACGGAAAAGAAAGTAAATGCCCTTAGGCTCCCTTAGAAGGGTTTCCTGAAAGAAATGGGCTATTCCTTAAACCAGGCCTTCATCCAGATTAATTCGTGCCTGTATTTTGTTCTTTCTTGTCAGACGTGCAAGGATGATCGCTAAACACGCTGCTTCACTCACACTGACGCTCTGAAGATCACTCGTCCTATGCATTTGCGTAATAGGATTACAATGTCTATGAGGTACTATTGCGCAATTGCACAAAACGAATGATCGTATGGGACCCTTGAGCCCAGACTCTCACGAACTGGCCGTAACCGGGGCCTCATGGTCTGAACATTATTGACAGTTGCTTACCAGGTACCAGCGGCTGTCCGTGTGGTTGTGGATGCGAGGCAGGATGGTGATTTGAGTTGCCGTTCATAGCAGGCCTGCCGCTTGTTACCAGGCTCAGAGGTGACATCTGAGACGGGTGGGCGGGTGGCAGGTTTGGCACTGGACTTCGCTGAACCATCTCGGAATATGTACCATAACTGCTCCGACGTCCCTCCCGGCGATTGCCCTCGATGGCAACTTGCAATTCTGCTGGCGTGCTTAGCTGTCGCTTCTCACACTCGTACGTGTACAAGTACTTCATGTATCTGTCAACAGATGGCAGGTAGATTGTATAGCTAGGCATACGGTCGACACTAATCGATTTCCGGATGAGTTGTACGGTGGCGCCATCGGAAAATAAATAACAGATTGCTACTTTCACTTTCGTTGGGAGCATCCAAGTTAGCGTACACATTGGCATGGTGCTTAACAGATAAATATTTATCACTGTATCTTTCATACATTCAACTTAATAAGAAACTATTAGATACAACATGTAACTGCATACACTTTGCTTAAGATGCTACACATAATTTTACGTGTATAATTATTGACATGGTATCTTTAAAATATCTCCCATCCAAGAGTACCAGGAATTAATTAAATAATTTTCCTGGGGAGTGAAGCGCGGCCGGCGCGTAAGGCTGACAACCTTACCGCCATCTTTGAGCCGATTGTCAAGGTAATGTGGGACCCTTAACGTCTCTCAACCCTATGAGCCTTCACGGCCTGTTACAGGGGTAGCTTTACTTTTTATCTTTAAAATATTCATTTAAGAACGAATCTGCTACAACATATGTGTTGTATCGGATGGCCACTTACTAAATTGAAAGTGACATAGTATTTTTTAGCATGGATTATCAGCTCCTTTGAAAGACCTGACCGTAGACGAGAGCATTAAGTTTAAAATGAAGAACTCCAACTTTTGGGATGTAGCGCCATATAGACCGTTGAAAGTCAACTGGCGTTTCGGAGAAAAATGTCACCTCTACCTTCAGGGTTGAAGAGTAAGCCGAGCATGAATTCAGTATCAAGCAGGCAGCAAGTAGAGCTATCCTTGCTCACTGCTTTATTCCTAGTACAATATTGTCCTGTTTTGTTCAAGTACGATCATAAAGAATTCTTTAATTCTTTATAATAATTCAGTTCAATTCTTTATTATTTATATTCCGAGTCAACATCCGCAAGGCCAATTACAGACACAGCACAGGGTAGATACAGGTAATTATGGACAAACACTACATAAATTCAAAGACAAATTACAGGCAAGCACTGGAGGAAAACACATTAATGCAGAGAAGTAAACAAATAAACAATAATAATAATAATATTAATAATAATAATTTCATTAACATAAATCAATAATGCAGACAAGTAAACAAACAAACAAATGATAATAGTAGCAATAATAATAATTTCATTAACATAAATCCAAGTGTTATTGAGAATAATAATAATCATAATAATACCATTCATAGTTTATTCTAAGCTTTCGTGACCTCTCTGCGTGTAAGATTATACGATATAAGCTTCACAAGAAGATAGGCCGTCGAAGAAAAATAGATAAAAAGCCAAGTGAATGTTACAGGTCACATCAGCTCCGCTGACACTCAGACTGAAGGAAGAGCCAAGAGTACAGATGGTGCGTAGGA